GAGGTAGAGCTCGCCGTTCTTGCGCACGCTGGTGGGTGCGAGCATGACGAGCGGGTGCGCACCCACTTCTGCCTGTATTTGGCCACGCATTACGCCTCGGTGGTGCTCAGCGGACACGGCGGGCATGCCACTCAGCCTCCACGTCCGGGAAGGGAAGGACCCCGCGAGCCACAGATACACCATGTATCATGTCCTTGTTCTGGGCCGCCACGACACGGCGAAGTGTGAGACGAACTCAGCTTCCGGTCGCAGCAGCTCAGCTGCGTCCTTCCAGTACATCCTTGAGGTAACGGTGGGGATGGTGGTGGTTGCGACATTGCAGATGGTCGGGGCCGTCCTTGGCTGGGCGCACGCCGCGTGTCATAGCCGGTGTCTTTTTTTTTTTGAGGGAGTCATAGCCGGTGTCTAGCAGACTAGAAGTGGCTTCTACCACGAGGATGCCATGGCCGATGTGGTGCGCGGCTGTACTGGTGCAGTCACATGGTGAGGAGACGTGGCTGCAGTTCTGCCTCGGGCAGAGCTTTCAGATATAAAAGTATCTAGCTCCAGCTTAGGTGGTGTTTGGTTCTTTAGTCTTATGATTTTTTTTAGTCTTAACTAAAAAGTCTCTAGTTCCTAAAAAGTCTTTTCATATTTGTTTTCAGAGATTAAAAAGTTCCTAGTCTTTTGCTAAAGGTTATTAAATGACCATGTTGCCCATAATATATAAAAAAATAACAATCAAACAATAATATGGGATGGCGGGCCAATAGGTGCATAGAGGGGCATTGTTGAAAAAGTCTCAAAAAGTCTCAAAAGACTCTTCTTGAGAGTCTTCTTCATTTAGTTCCAAATATCTAGTTTAGTCCCTAAAAAGTCTCTCTCATTTGTTAAAAAAGTCTCTAAGAGAAACTTTTTCTATTCCCTACACAAAAAAATCCCTGAAAACAAACACCCCCTTAAACACAAAGTGGTGTTTTCTTGATTGGTTAACTCTTGTGCGTACCCAAAAATCTGTGCTCTACCGGGTGATTGAAACCCTCTTCTCCCCTCGCCGGTCTTATTTTCATTTTGGTATTTCTTTCTCCCTGCTGGCAAATGGGACCCAATCACCTGTAAGCTGATCTGTCAATATTTAGTCAAAACCATCTCCACATCACACGAAAACTACCCAAAATGGTACAAAGGATTAAAGTTATCCAGTTTGAAAAATTATTAAAGGACTAAATTTTGCTTGTTTTAAAGTTAAGGGACTATTTTTATACTTTCAAAAAAATTGAGGGACGAAAAATATCCTTCTCCCAAAATACAAATGCAACACTTATCCGAAGGATTTGTAGGTATCTTTTCTTTCAATAAAAAAAATCTAACTATACTACACATGGGATTTTTTTTCATGGGAAGGTCTCTCACTCTCTTCTGGTGAGCCCATCCATGACTTGTAGAGAGCATGCATATTAGAGCATCTTCAACAGGCGCGCTAAACAGGCGTCGCGCCTTAAATATACTCAGTTTAGCGCGCGCAACCTGGCGGGTGACTCCAGCGGGCGCGCAATAACTGTGCGCGCGGTATAAGGAGTTGGGCGCGTGACAGGAATCGCTATCTCGCGCGGTGTATTTGGGGCGCCCGCTTCCGCGCGCGGCACACTCGAGCGCTCGCGCTACACTCTGTCTTCTCCGCCTCCAACGCCCCACACGCGCCGGCGCCGGCGACCCGTACCCCATGGACGCACGCGCCGGCACCCCGCTCACC